TCCCTACTATTGCTTAGCCCTGCCCCTTCCAATCCCATAGCTCCACCCCACAGCTCAACCCCTCCTTCTATCCCATAGCTCCAGCCCCAAGTCAGCTCCAGCCCCATAGCCTTAGCCCTACTCCTTCCATCCCATAGCTCTTCCCACAGCTCAGCCTCAACCCTGCCATCCCATAGCTCCACCCTAGAGCTCAGCCCTGCCCCATTTCCCTCACATCTTCCCCCTCAGCACTTACCCCCACCCCAATACACCCCCCTCACAAACTCTATGTCCCCAGTCACCCTGGTGCCCACACTCCCTGCCAGTACCTCTGGATATCCGTTGAGGTTTAGAGGAGGGTGAACGGGCTCAGCCCCACTCTGGACTTCCCACCCCCCCACCAGGTGCTCACCTCCTTGGTGAACAAGGCCTCCAACTCCTGCTCATCCAGGACCCCGTCGCTGTTGGTGTCTGGAAGAGAAAAGAAAGAGGGGTGAGGGGCATAAGACCAATAGGGCATGGGGCAGGGGTCCCCACTGGCTCAGGGGCTTTCCCCCCTGTAGGAGGTACGAGCCTCAGATTTCAGTCCCTCCACCTCAGAGTGGATCCAGTCTGGCCCCCCACAAAGCCTGTGCTATGCAGTGACTTTCCAGGTCTTGGCTTTGGGCCAGGGGCCCTGTTATAAGAAGACAGACCACAGCAGGGCATGCTGGGAGCTAGGACACCTGAGTTAGCTCAGACTACAGAGAACTAAAAATCTCCCCACTTCTGTCCCCCAAGAAAGAAGGGGCAGGGAGCAGCTGGGGGGGGGGGTGGCTATTAGCCCCCTCCTCCAAAACACCCCACAGGAGGGATCTACCCCTTGAACAAAGGAAGCCCCAGGGGGTGCTGATAGCACTGGAGGGGTTGGGGGATTGGACTCCTCACCGTGCAGTTTGAAGAAGGTCTTGGGGTTGAACTCATTGGGGTCCAGCCCATCGGTCTCCTCCCAAACCTCTTTCAGCTGATCCCGGCTCCCCTGTCCGGAGAGTTCAAGCATATGGTTAGAAGAATGGGGAGAACAGAACCCAGGTGTCCTGCCTCCCAGCCCCCATGCTCTACATTGAGCCTCACAGCCCCTCAAGAGGTGGCCAGCAATTCCACAGGCAAGTCGTGCTCATCAGGTCCTCAGCCCCTAGCCTCAGTGCCCCCCTGCCTTCTGCCAACAACCTCACAGGAGCACTGTTCTGGGACGAAAGGGCTCCAAGGTCAAGTCCCACCGTCACCCCAAGCACTTGTGAGAGAGAGGGTCCACATTAAAGTGTTGCCCCCACCTTTTGTCCAGGTTCAGCCCATACCTCCCCACAACCCAAACTGACCTTTGACCCCTGCTCACTCTACCCCCCCCTACCTCAGAGACAGGGAAGTCCCCAACACCAATCACCGTGGCACTTGACAGGGAGATGTAGTGTCCTTCTCCAATGAACCCGCCAAATGGGGCACAAACCCCCACCCCTACTCCATCCCCTTTGCCCTGGGGCACAGCTGCGTATGGCTCCCATCCCACTGGAAACATGATACATGTGGCTCCCACTGATCTCCCTATAGAGAGGAATCCCCCTCAAGCCTCAACTTGCACTGCCTCCAACACTTCCAATGCCTCCCCACTCGGCTGGATAGAGCCCCCAGCTCAACCCATGACCCAAGCTGACCCCCCAGAAAGGAAAGCACATATCCTACCCCCCCCGCCCATCCCCTCTAATGTGGGGAGGGGAGGAGCAGAGGCAGCTGGGCTGGGGGTCCTCACCGGGACGTTGACCTTGGGATGTTCACGGTGCCGGCGCCGGAGCTCCTGGAAACGGGCCTCCTCCTCACGTCGCTTCTCCTCATCCAGGGAGCGCAGGTACTCACGCCGCTCGTGCTCCTTCAGCATCTCATAGCGCTTGAACTCTTCATGGTGCGCAGCATCATAGTTCTCCAGGTCCTTGGTGGCCTGCAGAAGAGGGGTGGGGGATATCAGCAGGGAATCCAAGCCTGTCCAGGACCTCAGGTCCACTCCCTTCCAGCTCCCATTGGTCTAGTCTGCTGCCCCCCCCCCAACAGCAGGAACAGAACCCATGAGTCCTGGCTCCAAGTTCCAGCCCCCACCTCTCTTCCCAAAGCTGGGATAGAATACAGGTGTCCTAGCTCCTAGATCCCTCACTGCCCTAATGCACCGTAGCCCATGACCCCCTGCAGATGCAAAAGAACCCAGGAGCTCCCCTGCTCAAACCAGCCAGACCCCAATCCCTCTCCATGCTGGGAATAGAACCCAGGTGTCTGGGCTCCAAACAACCCCTGCATTGAGCTGGGACAGAACCCATGAGTCCTGGCTCCTCACTCCTCCTGCTCTAGGCCCACTGGACCCCACTCCCCCCACTCCCAGAGCTGGGAGAGAACCCAGGTGTTCTGGCTCCCAGCTTTCAACCAGCTCTGTATTCCCACCACCTGCCACATACCGCCTGGATGAGCAGCTCCAGGTCCCGGGCCTCGAAGGTGTGCTGGTTCTGAGGGTCCAAATGCTCAAACTGCTTCAGTAGCCCCAGGTGGTCAATCTGGACATCTGCGGGAGAAAAAGGAGAGAATGAGAAAGGGGCTTTTCATTTGCAGGGGACACCAGTCCCAGGGCAGGAGACCCCAGGGGATGAGGAAGCCTCCATGTAACATAGGGGAAAATGAGGCACAACAAGCCAAGCCCTTTTAGGGTCATAATGGCTAAGCTAAGAAATGAACAGAGACATCTTGGCTCCCACCCTTCCTACTCTAACTCACCAACCCACCCCTCCAGCAGAGATGGGACAGAACCCAGGCATCCTCCTGCTCTGACCCCCAGACTCCTCTCCCCTTCCAGAGCTGGGACTGAACCCAAGCATCTCAACTCCCAGCCCACCCCTTGGCATCTAACCCACCAGGACACCCTCTCTCCTCCCAGAGCTGGGATAGAGCCCAGGAGTCGTGACTTTGCCCCTTCTGCTCTGACCCACCAGACCCTGGTCCACCTCCCTGGGCCAAGGTGGAACCCAGGCATCCAAGCACTTACTCTGCTCCATGGTGGCATCCATCTTGGCTTTGATAAGCATGCGAAGCCGTGACACCTCCTGGCGCTTCAGTTCATCCAGCTTCGTTCGCACATGGTGGCTCACGAAGTCCAGCTCCTTGCTCAGTTTCCCGCTCTGCCCAAATGGGGGGGGAGCCTCTGTGAGGACACCCCCCCCCTTCCTCACCCATACCCTACTGCCTGGGCCAGATCAAGGCTGGGGCCCCCTAGGTCTGGGACACCCCTTTGCCCCATCATCCCCTCTCCCCACCATAAAGCCAGCAGCCAGTGTCCTCTCTCCCTGCCCTGGGGTTGTATCAGGGCTAGTGCCCCCCCTAGAGAGGATAGACCCCATGTCCTGGCTCTCACCTTGATGTCCTCAGCATTGGCCGCCTGTAGCTTCTCCCGGAAGTGACTGTCCGTCTCCAACACATTAATCACCTCCTGCAGGTAGCGATGGTAATAGAGCCCTGTGTCCTGTCCAGGGAAGGAGATAGTCAAGCCCTGCCCATCCAACCCAGCCTCCTACCCCCTTCCCTGACCCCACTCCCCTACAGACCCACCCAGCCTAGTACCCCAGCCTCCCACAAGTAGCCCCAGCTCAGCACCCTGCCTCCCCACCTCCCCTGGACTCACCCAAAATACCTGCACTGGTTTTCATTCTAACACATAGAACAGGACAGTAACATCCATTCTTGACCTCTCAGCTAAGCCCCAACCCCACCAAACCCCTCCAGTTCCTCCATCCCAGGATCCCAAACCCCATGACTTGGGCTTGGCTACCACATCCCTTCTGGGAAGGAACCCAGGTAGGATCTGACCCCCACCCCTCAACACCACTCCAAGAGGCGGAGAACCCCTGCTTTCTGCCCCACTCACACTATGCCAGGCAGGGGCAGGCAGATCCCTTAGCACTGGTCTGGTACATGGCACTGCCCACGTTGCATGCATCTTGCTCCTTAGGGCAAGAAGTCAAGGCCACCCTTCCAGACACTGCTCTTGCTTACATCCAATAGGTCCTGAGCATGGGCAGTCTCTGCCTGAGGCATCCACGATGAGCTCTGGGGGGTTGGGGTATACCAAGGGGCAAGCCCCATAGCATGTTCAACCACACCACCTCAACAAGTTGGAGGATACAAACAGATTTACTTCCACACAGCCTGTTGCCACCAGCTCTACATGTACTCTCCACCATCCTGTCCTCCAGTCCCAGACATCAAGTACCAGGGGTCTCCAAGGGACTGGCTTGGGCCAAATCCTCATTTCACAAGCCACAGGGGACCTCAGCTAGCAGCTGCTTCATGGAGCCATCTCTACAGGCACATACCTGGTACACTTCACGGACACCCCTGACACCTCCCCCTTCTCTCAGGTGTGTCCCAGGATCTCCCTCCATCTCGAGGGCACCAGGCTGCAGCCCCTTCATCACCTCCTCAGAACCTCAGCAACAGGTTCTTGGCTGTATTTCTTCCTGCATCTGTTCTTTTATACACTCCCCACCCATGGCCCCACCAAGCCCCAGGTCCTCCTGGTCACCTTTCTCCTGGCTCTAGCTCAGCTCACCATCTACCAGACCAAGGAGGAAGCTGATTGGAGGGAACCTGGGCAACTGTAACACCACTTTCCTGTCCTTTATCTGCTCACATCTCTGGACAGAGTTTCACTGGGCAGCATCCACTGGCTCCTTGGACTCATTTGAAGGGCAATGGGGGCTGGACGGTGCACTCTGCTCACTGTTCCAGCCCCTTGGAGCACTTGTTATTAACCTTTGATCGTCACTCCCATTCCTGTTCTCTCTTAAGTTGTCCCCTGGAATCAATTGTTGTTCCCTCAGTCACCTCCCTAATTAAGGGAACCTTAAAGTTTTCCTGGTGGGCCTCAGGCCCACCATGCCATAGAACAACAAAAATGCCTGCACTCTCCTCAGTGCTTATTCCTTTCAGGGCAACATACCACTGGAACCAGTGGCTGGGAAAGTGCCATGATACCCTGTGGAACTCCCTGCCACAAGATAAAGAGAATCAGGCCAGGGAAAGGTCTCAGGGCCCTGCCAATATCCTGGGGAAGGGAGTTCCACAAGGTAACAAAGAATCAGAGCATGGGCAGCTGGTGCCATTTGAGTCAGGGCAGACACATGCCCCTCCCCCATGGCCAATCTTGCTGGGGGGAGGGGCAGTCAACATCCTGCTTCTATAAAAGGTTGTTCATATATGCTCAGGAGATCCCAGATAGGAGCCGTGCTCCCACTACAGAGGAAGAAATCCCTCACAGTCAGCACCAACCTGATCACAGAGTAAAATTCCTTCCTGACCCCAAACACAGCAATCGGGCTGACCCTGAGCAGAGGGGCAAGACCCTCTAGCCAGGAGCCTCCAGCTTTGAGTCCCAGCAGAAATACTGGTACAGCCCAGTCCCAATTCCCAGCCTCAGTTGCAGCCAACACCCAGTGCCTACGAAGAAGGCTTAAAAACACCCGGCCACCTATAGCAGAAAGGATGGAGGGACGAGGGAAACCAAAGCCCAGAAGCCTTGGACATACCTACAGAAGAATGTAAGCAGAATTATGCCTAGATCATCCCCGACCAATGTCTGTCCAAGCTGTTTTTGAACCCCTCCAATGATAGAGTCCACAGCTCCCCCAGGCAGTCTAGTCCACTGCCTCCCTGCTCTACCAGTGAAGATGTTTTTCCTGAAATCCAATACAAAAGTTACTTTACTGCGACTTCAAGCCACTGGTCTGCATCCTCCTCTCTGCAGCAATTGAGAAAAGGTGCTTTCCCTTCTCTTTAGTGACAGCTCTTCAAGTATAAGCAATGCATTGTTAGACCTGGCAGATGCCTGCAGATGGTGCTAGGCTCCTATGGCTGGCTTAGCCTGGCATTAACCTGGGGAACTCCTTGCTAGAGGAAAACCACTCAGCTCTGCCCCATAGCCCAGCCTCCCTCAGGGCTCTTACTGGCGGCTCCGGAGGTGCCTCCTCTGTCTTCTTCTCCTTCGACCGGTCAATGGGCACAGATGCCACAAGGCCCAGGAGGGTGGTGAGCAAGAGCCAAGAGAGCTTCATCATTCAGGGGTGCCACCTGCAGAAAAGCAGGAGGAAGAAGGAAAACAGACAGGGGAGGGTTAGAGAAGGTGGGAAATGCAGTGGAGGAGGAAATCAATAGGGGATTTCGGG